AACAACAACAACAACAATTTTATTTCCCACCACCAAACTCTGCAAGCTTATGGTTTCTCCCCTAAGGATCTGGGTAAAGAGACAGGGTAATAATGATAGGCAAAATCCATTAGTGATTCATTTTGTAAAACATAATGAATGAGAATGATGTACAAAACAATGTGAATGAAGAATAGTGTGACAAACAATTTACAAAGTTTGTAAGCAAACAAAAAATGCTCTATTGACAGTTACTGCATTTATCACAGCATTTAAGGTTTCTCTCATTACCATGTTGACCTTCATGTACTAATACTATAAAACAACTCGATATGTAATTATACAGAATGTAATCATGCAGAAGAATGCTTAATTAGCTACTCCTGAGTTAAGTATGCATAGTCGGTATTTTCCTCAGCCTTTTCTGATTATCATATAGAACTTGTATATACAGTAAAGTCTGGGGAAAGTCTCTGGGCTATAGTAATAAATAAGATTTTTTTTTTCTCCCCTTCTGAATTATTTTTTTCGGACTTTCAGGAAAGAAATACCACATTTCAAAGTATTTAAGAGTTTGTAATTCCATGTGACACATGCACACACATAAACACAGACCCCTCAAATGCAAGAATTATATTGAGCCTGTGTCTTGAAGGATAGAACCAGTGTTAGTAATGTGCAATGCTTATTGCTATTTTTTTCAATCCAAGGACGTTTTTATTTTAATTCAGGTCTTTGCTTTATTTTTATATATGTATATATCCATTTTAAATATTTTGCTACAGTTGGAGTTGAATTCAGTCCTCTCCACAGTTGGTTTATTTTTCCTGGAAAATAAAGGACTTTGTTGTGTTGGTTTTTTTTTCCTCAAGGGACAGTCGAAGGGCCTCTACCTTGTCCTCAGTGGCCCTCTGAAGCATCTGGGAAACCCTCTGCCTCTGGTAAGGACTTAGGTGTTTTCAAAGAATATCAGATCATGGAAGATGTTCAGGAGGACTTTTCAGTCTTCACAGATTTTATGAGTCAGAAAAATCTCAGTGAGTTCTCTGGCCTTGAACAGATCCAGGAACTGCTGCAGTTCCCTTGATGAACAACAGTTCAAGAAGCTCTTCCCCTAAGGTGATGGATGAAGGCAAAGTAAGTAATGCAGACATTGCGAATTACACTTAGATATTTAAAGAAGCATTCGACTTTTTCTGTTCCATCTCTTGCCCCATCTTTTGTTTGTGTGTCCTGTTATATCTGTCCTATCTTAATTTCTCAAAAGCATACTGTTACCCAAGAGCCTGCAGGCCCCTCGGTTGCAACCATTGCATCTCTGACCGAGCATCCGGTCGCAGTAAGTACTTAGAGGTTAAAGACTGAACTGGGCTTATGCTTGACCTGTTTCTGGAGAGGATATGAGGAGCATGCTAACCTGTTTTCTTAAATTATATGGCAGTACTGATCTTAGATTTGGCTTCAGAATGTTAACTTACTAGAATCTTATTGTGTGCTTGGTTTTCCCCCTTTTTTTCCTGTCTTGTTAGGTGGTGAACTTTCTTAAGATGCTTATTGTAACTAAATAATGTGAAAAGTTCTCACTCCAATTTTTTATTATGAGCTTTAGTTTGTGTGCTCTTGCTGATGTTTTGTTTGCCATTGAGTTGGAAGTGACCCATAGCTGACACTCTGGTGAGTTTTCAGAGACAGTAAATCACACGGGAGCAGAGTGCCCAGCCTCCTTCCCCAGAACAGCTGGTGGATTTGTTGAACCATATGCCTTCAGGATTGAGGTGCAATTTCTTATCACTAGGTCACCAGAGCTCACTATGTATGATCTTAGGTGCAGTAAATTGCCCAGTTATCATACTTAATTTATCATTAATTATGTCTTTGTTTGAAAGTGTATATCTTTAGAATTCTTCCTCTTGTACTTGGCATTCTATTCTGGATGACCAGGAATTGCAGCTTGGTAAAGGAAGAAACTTCCTGAAACTCGGGAGGACATGAGGCTTTTCAGGTCAAGGACTGTAGTCTTCAATAGGGACTGAAGCGCAACATCAAGAAAAGAAAGTCTCACCACTGGCAGCTTCATGATAAATAGTGTAGAGATTAAGATTGTTAACAACTTCAGTTTGCTTGGTTCCACAATTAACACTCTTGGAATCAGCAGTCAGAAAGTCAAAAGGTGAATTGCATTGTGAAAGTCTGCTATCAGGGACGTCTCTAGAGTACTGAAGAGCAACAGTATCAGTCTGGAGACTAAGGTGTGCCTGGTCCAGGCCGTGGTCTTCCAGTTACTTGCTGTGTGTCAGAGATCTGGACAGTGACTAAGGATGATAGAAGAAAAATTGATGCCCTTGAGTTGTGGTGCTGGAGAAGAGTGTTGAACATACTCTGGAACGCCAGGAGAACAAACAGGTCTGTCCTGGAGAGGGTGAAACTGAGCTTTTCCCTGGAGGCAAGGATTTTGAAGCTCTGTATCACATACTTTGGGCACGTGGCCAGGATACACCAGTCCTTGGAGAAGGACATCATGCTTGGAAAGGAGAAGGGACAGCACAGGAGAGGAAGGCCCAGGATGAGATGTATAGATTCAATGACTGGATAACAGAAATAGGTCTGTCAGAGATGATGAAGATTGGCTCAGGATAGGGCAGGCTTCAGCGCTAATGTATGTAGGGTTGCTGTTAGTCACAGGTGGCTTGATGGCACATAACAACAACAAAGGAAGAATATTTGTTGGAAGGGAAATACTTGATAATCTATTGATTGCCTGTTGAAGCAATTCCAAAAATGGCCTTAAGTTATGGTTACGTAGTGTATCTTCTTGTAGTTCCTACAGATATATCTGGTGAATCATCTTAGACTGCATAGTATTTCTCCATGTTGAAATAAAAGAACTTTCTCTTAGATTTCATTTATTTAGGATTTCTAATCTATTTCTCATAGGAATTTATTATTCAGTATCTCACAATTTTTACTAGTGAGTACCAATAAAAATAAAACTCTGCCTACCTTGTGCAGTGTAAATTTACATCTCTTAAGAGATCTTACGTCTAGGGTACCATCTACAAATAGAAGACTGCTTTGTTAGAAAAAGCGGAGATACAGAGAACATGGGCTTGCAGTTGGCTCTAGAGTGGAATGTCAGCTGAAACTCTTACATGTTGTATGACACTCTGCAACTTACCTCATTCTCTGTGTCCATGTTCCCTCCTCCTGAAACTCATATGGTCATGCTTACACATTTAGAGATCTAAGATTTAGAGATTATAAATGAATGGCCTGTTAAAGGTACCCTTCAGCTAGTATCTGTGTACAGAATGGATTTTTCACTCCCTTTCATTTTCTGTAATCTCATATTAAAATAGGAAGCTCTACAGGTGTAGTCTGTAGGAGATAAAACTGCTAAACCACGGGCTTCACTCAGTGGGATTCATCCCTGCAAGTAAACCCACTGCAGAATGATGGACATTCTCCTCCCCTTCACTTTGCAACCTAAAAACTCTTTTTGGTCAGCTGTGAGTAGCTTTCACCTCAGTAGCAATGACTGAGTTTGAGTGACATGTTAACAATGAGGTGATGTGGTGATTGGAAGAGAGATTGTCCTAGAAATAGTTAACAGTGATAAGTGATGTTAAATGGTCAAATTGTTATTCCTGTGCTACCTCTTTCCCCTAAGCTATTAATAGAAGCAAAGGAGAAAGAATTTTGTCTCACTATTTCTGTTCTTTGTAATCCCAATAAAGAAGTGCCATGTGCCTAACATTGCTTCATTGGATCTCAGCTTTTATTGGGAATGGTGTTTTTTATTATCATACTGCACTATTTCAGAACTTTCCATTGTTTCTCTTCTACAGGTTAATATAGCTGCAAAAGGTCCACCTCCTTTCCCGGGAATGCCCCCTATGAGTTCGCCCATGAGAGGCCCTCCACCTCCACCTATTCGATACGGACCACCTCCTCCACCCTTTGGGGCTTTTGGGCCTCGACCACTCCCTCCACCATTTGGTATGATGGTCTCACAGTTGTTACTTACTTGTAAAGTATACTAATCTTTTCTTGGCATTCTTTTCATATCTATATATAAATATAGGAAGGTACAAAAGCTTTATAACTTTTTTCTTCCATTTCATAAAGCAACTGGGGTGCTGCCTAATCCCCCTGCACTAAGGTGTGCAGAAGATATTTCTCATAGAAGAGGAAAGGGACTTTTTTAAAAAGCCGGTAATATCAATTGGAAAGATATTTTAGACCTCCTTTGATTGTCATATACTAGGTATGGTAAAGAATGGAAAGTTGAAATAGATAAATAACTCGTAAGAGATACCCTGTACAGATACATAAATTAGATAAGAAACATACTCCCTCATATTGGAAACATAGCAATGGAGTCACAAGAGAACAAGAGAGGGAGAAATCTAATGTTTATTGTCCACTTTGGAAATAAGTCACAAATGTCCCTGAAAGTAATTTTGAAACCAAATAATAGTTTACCATAATTAGTGAAAAAATACATAACTTGAGCATTGTGTTCTTTTAAGAAGTGTCTACATGAGATCAAAGTTAGAGCAATAATTCCAAAAGATTAGCTGATGCAAATTGAGGGTAAATAGCACAAAGATGGCCAAGTCTGACTCCACAAATGGGAGCCATCCCCATCAACAGCATCCATGGTACAAAACTAATTCCTTCAAGGTCAGACATGGTCTCTTATGCTCCTCCACTTGTTAACTAATTCCAACAACACATCTCCTCTACTTGGGTCCAGAATCCATTGCAGTATGATTCTGTAAATCACTGTCTAACTTGGGAGACTCTGAAGAGCATTATAATAAGAGAAGTAACTTAATTTCATAAGGACAAATACTGTGAAAGACCATTATTGTAGAACGTGTATGAGAATCCAAAGGGGTGAAGGGGAGAGCGGAGGGGTGAAGATGGACGGGGTGGTTGGTGGAAGAGGTTAACCATAGGGTTGCACAGTTTGATGGCTAGAGGGAGGTGTGTGTACAGGAAATGGGAAAGATCCGATATGGAAAATAGTGTATGCAGACTTTGTAAGTAAAGCCAGTATAAAAGAAAAATTTTATATTAAAAAAAATTCATTGCAATGACCGCACAGACTTTACAGAACTATATGGTTTGGGGGTTTATTAGGGCAGTTAACAAGCTATGTAATTAAGATTGGCAGTATGATGCAATCCTTCGGTCCAGACAGCTTCCCAGGCATGGTTGCAGGTCCTTTAACCTTCAGCCTCCCTTATGTTTCAAAGTTCCCTTAGTCCTGCCAGTTACAGTGTCCTCTCTCAGTTCTCCAGCAGGCTTGGGTGAAGGCTTCTGGCTCTGGTTCCCTGGGGCAGCAGTCCCAAGTCAGCTCTAATACTGGTCTCTGGTTTTCGGCTGAGGCCGTTGTTGCTTTGATCCTAGTCTGGGTTGCACAGCAATCACTGGTCCTGAAGGATGCATGCAGCTGCCTCTTCCTTGTTGGTGTTAAGATTCCTCATTTCTGCAACTGAATCCACTCGATTCATTAGCGAGGCTAGCCAGTCCCCCTGTGAATAAGGAGATATGGACTAACACACCCTGTGTGTGTGTTCCAGCCTAGCCACATGTCAAAGTCAGTGGGTACGAAAGCCATTGTTAACAATAAACACTACAGCTGGGAAGCAGTATCACCGAATTACACATGCAACTAGAAGGTCATTATTGGCAAGACAAGCAGCTTGATTTACTTTTGAGAATATGTGCAGCAAAGCTCCCACCAATTATTATTTAAGATTTAAAGATGTTAGGGCAATGATTTCATGTAATTATGGATGTCCTATGACTCCATGAAACTTGTAGTTTATGAAAGTTCTGGCCATATTTTTTATAGTGAAAAAACCCAATTGTGGTGAAAATGTTTAATAGTGATAGCCAGGTACCATCCTGTTCTTCTGGTGACATGACAGTTAATCCACACATAAAAAGTAATTTTGTACCTTGGATGACCAAGAAGCAGCTTGATTTGGATGGCATGTGTTATTAGGCTGTGCTGAGCTGCTACATGAATGTTTTCATTGTAACAGTTATACAGGATGGGATTTCCTTGATAAAAGACTTCTTTGTTGCAGGGAAGCTTTTAGCTTGTAATGGCTTATCTCAGTATCCATGTGGTACTTCCACCTACAAACCAAGTTCCTGTGTACTAGAGAAAGAAGAATTCTACAGTGGTCAGAATAATTTGGAGCTAAGTAGAGCCATGTCTCCGTCCTCCCTCTTGCTTTGTTGCTGGCTGGCCATAGGCCTGTAACCTAAACTTTTGAGCATCAATTTGCCTTGTCTGAAGTCAGGATGCCACTACTTGGCTTCTAGGGTTGTGAAAACAGTCGCACATGTGCGATCAGTTTAGTTAGATATGTTCATATTTATATTTTTTCCCCCAGGTCCTCCTCTGCGTCCACCATTAGGCTTAAGAGAATATGCACCAGGCATTCCACCTGGAAAACGGGACCTGCCACTCAATCCTCGAGAATTCTTACCAGGAAACACAACTTTTAGACCCTTCGGCCCAAGAGAGTACTTTGTTCCTGCTGCCCGCCTACCACCCTCACCTCATGGCGCACAGCATTACCCACCTTCGCCTGCTGCAGGAGACTTCCCACCATCTGGCTCTAGGGAAGAGCCTCCACCTGCCAAGAGCACTAGCCAGGACTCTTCACCAGCTTTAAAACAGAGCCCATAACTGACATATAAGCCCAAAGAGTGGACTGTGCACTTTTGGTTGTAGGAAAGGATTTCAGAATCCAAAAGTTTATTTTCAAAGGTTTGTTTTTAAAACTGCCCTGGCAGTTTGTATTTTTTGAGCCAAACGATTCAAAGTATAATTCCTTCCCCCAAATGAAGACTGCATATTAAGCTAGCACCTCCTTACAATTTTGAAATGTGCAATATAGAATACCTGTGCTGTAGTTGATGTAGAAAATATAATTGATAAATGATTTAGGATGTCGTGTAGGAACATTTCCTGTGGAAATGCTGTAAGAACATGTATTTCCATTTATTGTCATATTTTTAGTGTATAGCAGTTGAAGAAAGAGCAGTGGTGTTTATAAAAACTTGATTTTTAAAAACTATGTGGTTGAAAAGACTTAACACACATAAAAATATGTTTACTAAAACATTACCTCCCCCTCGTTAAAGTTCTTTGTAGTAACAGTTCATAAAAAATTGTTTACTAGTATCTTCCTAAGCATCTGTTGATTCATTGGACTGTTTTTTCCCCAAGAGTTGTGCCATTTGGGAAACATGTCAACTCAGGCTCCCAGAACTGAAGAATGATGGTGACTTTGTTGAACACAATTGCTTACTCTTAAGTGTTGCCTTCACTCCACAAATGATTTTCTCTCTTACTGTGGAGAAGTCAGCAGCCCCACCTGGATATAGCATTCATGGACTTTCTTATGATGCCTACTGCTTGTTTGAGAAGGGGTTTGCGTGTTAGCTTTTATTACTAGCAAGAATTGTTTGACCTGATGTTCTAAATTCCTCTCACCATTCTTACAGTAAGGAAGGTTGAATAGTAAAATGAAAATTATAAAAGTAACATTTTTTAAAAAAATACGTTCTGAGTCAGTTATCTCTCCCACACTGTGCCACTGGTTTAAAAGAATATGACAGGCTAGAGCAGAAGAGTGTAATACAATGAAAAAAACAGTGATTATAGATGAAGAATTACCCCTTGTCCTCAGTGAGCAACCATGGGCTCAACTCAATTTTTTGTTGTGGTCAATTTTGTTATTTTATGTGCCAATAAGTAGTTTCTACTCCGGAATTGATATTTGAAGGTGTTGGTGGTGATGGTGTGCTATGTCTTACCTAGTCACCCATGACTCCTAATGACGCTATATACAACAGCTCTGAACCCTGCTCTATCTTGAGCCAATTTCATAGTGTGATACATCTACCCCATTAGCCAAGTCACTGACTCAATCCATCTCATCTGATGTCTTCCTCTCTTGTGCTGTCCCTCTATCCTTCCAAGCATGATATCCTTTTCCAAGGACTGGTCCATCTTGGCAAAATGCCTAAAGTATGTGAGACAGAGCTTCAAAATCCTTGCCTCCAAGGAGCAGCCTGGTTTGGTCATCTCTAGGACAAGCCTGTTTGTTCTCTTCGCAGCACCATAATTAAAAAGCATCAATTCTTTTCATTTTAAAAATGAGCAAATCTAAGAATTGTAGATTGTGCCATAATTAAAGTCTTAGGTGCATTACTGTAACTATGTTTGTTAGACATTGTTCCTAAGAACTGACATTTAAAATATTTTAAATGACAAAAACGTTGTAACACATTCTAGTAGGATTACCACTTAAAGCATAAAAGGTTGATACTCTTTGATTATTGCTAGACCATTGTTGCGACACCCTGATGGAGGTAAGCATGATGGAGACACACTACTATGGGAGAGGATCAGAGAGTCAATCCAACTCAATTTTATTTGCGGCTGCAGCACAGTTATATACAAGCAAATAAACAGGAAGACAGGCTAGGGTGGGCTTACAGACGTGTGGGATATGTGGATTGGATAGATGAACCTCAGCCTCGTGTGGACTACTCCCAGCTCAACAGATGCAGCAGCTGTCTTCCCAGGTGGCGAGCTTTCTCAGGCTGTTACAGCCAAACACAGGAGAGCTTTCTCTATCCCGCATTAAAGGCCATTGGAAGGCTTGCACTTACCCAGAGCTTAGGCAGTCTGTCCTGGCCAGAGGCCTTCCCTACTTCCCCAACATTCCCCAACAGACTATATACTCCCTTTCCTTAAATTCTATAATGTAGGGATATTATTCTTTAGAATTTAGTTTATCAGTATAATATTTAATACGCAAAGACTTCAGCATGAAACAAACTTTCTTTTTATAGTAATTGCTAGAATACCAATTAAAACACTTCAACAAATAGATGCTGCCCTGGATGTGCTCACTAGATTGTGCCAAGAAATCTGGACGATACCTACTTGGCCAACTACTTAGCCCCATTCCAAAAAAGTGAGCCAACAGACTGTGGAAATATTCATACAGTATCATTAATACCACACATAAGCAAAGTCCTGCTGACGATTATCGAAGAAAGACTGAAACAGTATAAGGACAGAGAACTATCAGAAATACAATCTAGGTTTAGAAGAGGTTGTGCCACTAGAGACATTATAAAAAATATCTTGCAGAAAGCAGAGAGAACCAGAGAAATAGCTATCTGCTTCATTGACTGCAAAGGCATCTGACAATGTAGGTCACAACAAATTGTGGTTAACCTTGAGGAGAATGGCAATCCAAGAACACTTGTGTTTATGAGAAACCTTTATTTGTACCAGGAGACAGTCGTCAGAACAGAGCAGGGAAACACTGAATGGTTTAAAATCAGGAAGGGAGTGTGTTAGGGATGTGTCATGTCTCCATACCTTTTCAATCTATACGCATAACAGATCAGGAGGCTGGACTTTATGAGTAGGAATGTGCAGATGACACAACCTTGCTGAAATGGAGGATCTGAAGCATTTGTTGCAGAAGGGCAAGGACTGTAGTCTTCGATATGGATTGAAGTTCAACATCAAGAAGACAAAGATTCTCATCACTGGGCTGATTGGCCACATCAGGATAGATGCTGAAGAGATTGAGGTTGTTAATAATTACAGCTAGCTCATCTCCACAATCCACACTTTGGCACCAGCAGTCAGGAAATCAAAAGAAGATTAATTGCATTGGGTAAATGTGCTGTCAGGGACCTTTCCAGAGTACTGAGAAGCAGTGATGCCTGATCCAGGTCATGGTGTTCACAGTTACTTGCTATGCATTAGATAGATGGAAACTGACTAAGGATGACAAAAGAAGAATCAAAGCCTTGTGTTGTGATGCTAGAGGAGAATCTTGAACATACTGTGGACCACAAAGAACACAAATAAGTCTGTCTTAGGGCGAAACCAAGTTTCTCCTTGGAGGCTAGAATTGTGAAGCTCCATCTCACATACTTTGGACATGTGGTCAGGAGGGACCAGTCCTTGGAGGATGTCAAGCTCAGAGGGGTGGAGGGACAGCACAGGAGAGGAAGACCCTGAATGAAATGGATTGATACAGTCACTAGGGCAATGGGATTAAGTGTGTCAGAGTCAGTGCGACTTGCTTAGGACAGGGCAGTCTTCAGAGCTGTTGACAGAGTCGTTACGAGTTTCAGGCAACTCGATGGCACATAACGAGAGGTATTACTGTGCTAGGACAGTGAAGACCTGCAAACAAGAATATAAGCATAATGAATTACATAATTTACTAGAGACATTTTACTTTGCTTAATTGCATTCAATACTAACATTTAAGACTGAAAAACAAAATTGAGGAGATAACTTTCATATTGTTTCCTTATTTATTACAGCAGGCATCTTCAGACAAATCAGGACAGAGAGGGTATAAATCAACCACTCTATCAGTTTTCAGTAACCTAGCAACATTCCCAAACCAAGAACAGTAAGATGAGTACTGTGACATAATTGAAAGAAACAAAAATTAGTGTTCTGCTTCTCGTATCTTTTCCAGATACACACCAATTGGATGCCCAGTTCAGTCCTCGACCTCTTATGTACTTACTGTTCCTGGACCCTCGGTTAGAGATGTAATACTGGTGAATTAGGGGCCTTCAGGATGTTGGGGAACAGTTTCCTTTTTAAAAAATATGATGGTAGAGATGTAAAAGGACACAGAAACAAGAGAGGAGGCCAGGGAAGGATGGTATAGAAAAAATGTAGTATTTCCTAAAATATCTAATTCCAATTCAGGATACATACAGAGTTTACTTCATCTTCAAGCACCACCTTGAGGGAAGAGCTGCTTGAGCTGTTGTTCACCAAGGGCCCTGCACCAGGGCCTAGGTCTTTTAAAAGCCAGAGAATAGATTTAGATATATTCTGACTCATATAGTTTGTTAGGAAAAATTAAATAGTCCTACATAATGTCCTACATGATTTGAGACTCTCAAAACACTTCAGTCCCGTACCAGAAGCAGAGGGTGTCCTGGATTATTCTCATGAGCATTGAGTAGATGAGAAAGGCACACCCTTCAGCCCATGAAAAAGAAACCTTTTCTTTGGGGGGGTGGGGAGGGTAGAAACCAATTGTGAAGAGGTTGGATTCAGCTCTTCCTGTAATGCAATCTTAAAAGTGGATCTTATACATGGTCAATCACAATGCAAGGCGCAGACTTGAATAAGAACGTTGTTTTGAAAGAATTAAGACTAAACAGTGCACATTAATAGTATTGATCCTATCCTTTAAGACCTTATTAAGATTGAATATGACTTTTTTATTTAAGGGATATGTGAGTGTGTGTGAGAGAGAGAGAGAGGAGTTAGAAAGCCTTGTTGTGTTATGCTGTTAGGTTCCATCACTTTGAGTATGATCCATAGTGTCACTCTCCAGGGAATAGCCTCTTCTAGTAACATGCCCAAAGTATGTGAGGTGAAGCAAAAAGTACTCTGGCTGCACTTTCTTCAAAATGTATTTGCTTAATCTTTTGACAGTCCATAGGTTATTCTCCAACACTACAACTCAAAGGCATCAATTTTTTTTCTGTCATCCTTTTTCATTGTCCAGCTCTCAGATGCATAGCAAGTGATCAGAAAGACCATGGCCTGAATCAGACACACCTTAGTCCTAAAAGTGACATCATTGTTACTCAAAAATTTGGAGAGGTCTCTGA